CCCTGTGGGATCTGGTTGTAGTATAATAACATCATTATTGTCAGACCATTAATAATGATTATATTTAGTCTCAAGGGCTCTTAAATCACCCATTTCCCAGCAGGCTTGGGCTTGGCCATGCTAATGCCATTTTGCAGGAGGGAAATTATTTGTTTGAGGTTAAGCTACAAATCACTGGGGTTTAGCACTGACCTCACGACGTCCTGAGTCTCAGGTGTGTGTGTTCACCCAAGGAGGGCAGCCTTGGTTGTTACTTCCATCACTTTCTTCTGCTCCAGACTCCTGATGAATTGGAGTTCTTGCCCTCCAGCTGAACCAACCAAGGACATTAATTTGCAATATCTGAAAGCTATTCGTTTATCAAAAGATACCTCAAGTCACACAAGCTGTGGTAAAGACATTTCTGCCCCAAGCTGACTGATTGGGTTGTTTACTCTTTAAACATTCACATGCTGTGGGTCAAGGATAATGTAATTCTTGACCTTAAAGTGCTTTTTCCCAGAGATGACATATTAGTGACTACACACACACACACACACACACACACACCTTTGTTCCTTTTGATGTAAACTAAAGAATAACGAGCCCTATGTAGCACTTCACAGTTTGCCAAGCACTTTCATATGGTACTTTGCTTGATCCTCACAATTATGTGAGGAAAAGGCAACTTAGCAATGTCAACATTGATATAGTTGTTTATTCATTGGTTTTTATTTTACTTGCCTCATTTATGAAATAGTTGACAATTCTAAAATCACATACATTTAATATATTGTTTTTTTTTAAATTAAGAGAGCAGAATAAAACCGGAGGCAAAAAGTGCGCTAGGAGACAGAGCAAAGCAGGACAAGTATTAGGAGGCAGATATGCCAGCTAAATAGGCCTTCCTAGTTCCCAGTGTTCAGCCATAAATTGGATCTGAGCTTCCTGGAAACCTAAATAAAAAAGAAAAGAAATCTTGCACTAGCTTCACATCATCCATGACAACGAAGCCCATTGGTTATCTGGAAGAAGGGAGGCTTCCCCTACAGCTGAAAAGCACGTCTTCTTTGGGTACTCACTGAATGGGGTGCTTCTCCCTGCTGGCTACACATCAGGCTCACCTGGGAATTTTAAGAAGTGTCCATGCCCAGGCCCCACCCCAGACCCACTAAACAGCACCTCTGGGTAAAGGGCCAGGTATCGGTATATTTTTTTAAAACTCCCCAGATGATTCTAATATTGTGCCAGGATTGAAAACCACTGGCAAAGTGAGTACCAAGTCACTCATGAGACAGCATCCCCGAGTAGATTCCTCCAATAAATCCAAGAACCAGTTACGTACATCGGTATGTCCCGAGGCTGTCTGCATGAGTGGTAGCGTGCACTTTTGAAGCTGGATCTGGACCTGGATCTTCCAACTCAGCTTCTGATGTTTTCCCTGGGAATGGGAGCAAAGGAGGGGTGAAGAGTTTTAGAAAATGAAACTCAGACGAGTTGGATATTGTTCCCATGAGTGGAACTTCGAGCAAAGTGATAGGTAATTTGGTAGCTGTGGAGTGGAAAATGATTTCAGAAATACAGCCTCGGTGAACTGAGAGCCAGTGGGAGGCTGATTCAGAACCTAAGCACCCCCAGCGGTCCTGGTGCCGCCTGAACGTCTGGGGAAATCACTAACTGTTTTATTGTATGTGTCCCTGCCTGCCACCTGTTTATGACTCATGTGGATGCGGTGGGGATGGTTTCCCTCCTTTCCTGATATATTGGGCATTTCATCAAGCGTACAGAGAACATGACAGCATTTCTAGAAGGGCTTGTAGTTCTGCTTTTTCACTGAGCTGAAGCCCCCAGAGGTCCCTCTCTCACTCAGTGTCTGCAAAGAGGACACCAAGAGGATGAAAGGCTGCCTCAAGGAAAAACCATCAAGCTGCAGGCTTCCAGAAGATCACAGCAGGTTATTAAAAAATTGCACCAAGCATCCCTATGAAATAATCTGGCAATAGTGAATGTTCCCACAGGTAATAACACTGAAACTTTGTACAGTAGATGTTGAGTGCTTTCCAGTTTTTCACATACTCCTGTAAGCAACATTAAATTTGACCTCTCAGCTTCTCAAGAGTATCCATAGAAATCAGAGTGCCATATTTTTCACTAGTTAGACAAGAAGAAGGAAATTTCTATTACACAAGGTTTCCCAAGCCTGTGTGATGTTTGAAATCACCTGGGGCACTTGTAGAATATCTAGATCCCCGGCCTCCCCTCTAGAAACACTGGCTCCCTAGCTCTTGATTAGGCCTGGGACCTGGTTTTGTTTTTCCTTTTTGTTAAAATATTGTTCCAGGTTTTTCTTATCTTTAGGCAAATTTGGGAGACTGTACTTGAAGGAGACCCAGATAATGGGTTCTTCAAGAAGCAGCAAGAGTCATGAGAAAAAGTTTCTTCAGGTTTTAACTTTGAAGGCTCTCAGTTTAATTAAATTCCACCCCTCCCCCACCGGCCAACACTTGGTAACTTTGTGAAAATTACTCAGACTTCCTTTGTCTCCAAATTCTATAAAATGAGAATAATTTTATTTTCAGAGTGTTGTATCAATAAAGACGACGAATGTACATTTCATCGTGCCTGGCTAACACAGTGCAGGGACACTGTAACTGCTTGATATGTGGTAGTGACTGTTGCTAATGACCAGGCAGCCGAATCATGAATCACAGCTCTGAATAAAAATCCTAAATTTTGTCTCCATCCTAAAACAGTGGTTCTCAACTGAAGATGATTTTGTCCCCAGAAGACATTTGTCACTGTCAGGAGCACATTTTCAATTGTCATGACTGGGGAGGTGCTGCTGACAGCTAATAGGTTCCCAGGGATGCTGCTAAACACTCTACAATGCACATTCTACAGTTCTCACAGCCCCACCACAGAGAATCATGTGGCCCGAATGTCATAGTACTGGTGTTGAGAAGCCCTCTCCCAGAGGTTCAGGGAGACCAGCAGGAGGTCTTGCGAGTGGAGGGATAAACACGAGTTGTGGTGTCCCACAGAGAGGGCAGATCTAGCGGGACACAGGCACTTCTGATGGAGCAGGAGTGGCTCTGGACCACAGGGGCAGAGGCATGAATTTGCGTCCTGGTGGGCCAAGGTCAGGGCCGACTTGCTGCACACTCGGGTCCACTGGGGCTGTACAGTGTGGCAGCCTTGCCCTGACCTGCGGTGTCACTCTGGGTAAATCCTTCACCTCGGGATGTCCAAGGCACCTCGTTAGACCAATGATCATTAGACTCACCTCTTGAACTTGTTAAGATGCAGACTTCTGGCTCCTTTCCCTGCAGATTCTGCTTCAGGGGCCAGGTTTGGATGCTCTAAGTTACCCACCAACTTTGACATTCAGGGCATCTATAAGATGTGGAAATGGAGAAATAAAGTCCTGCCAGACACAGCTGCTTTCGCCTCATGCAAATTAACAGTTCTTGTAGGTCTGAACTATTCCGATTAATTTCGTGGTTTTTTATTTTTACTGCTTCTGTTAACAGTACTATTGTTGCTGCCAATAATAAAAATAATAATAATAAACAATCACACAGAATGTCAGCGTTGGTAGCTTGTTCCTTAAGATTCAGATGAAACAACCTCGAACACCATCCAAGGTGTATTTTCCACTTCTCCCCTGGGGGAGGGAAACTCACCTTCATTCCACGTTTTTGCTTTGTCTGATGCGGATCAGTCTGTGGGTGATTTTGGTATCTTGTGACTGCGCTGACAGCCAGGGTTTTCTCAGCAGAGCTTCCATTTACAACAGGCCTCTGCCTATAAAAGCAGACTTTACCAAAGTTTGGAGAGGTGGAAGGGACTCGTAACAGAAATAGCTTAACATCAACTCACGTCTGTCCTCTGCTTAATGATTCTCTCTGCATTCCTGCCAGGTCAGACTGTAGGTATCTGCCCTGTTGCTGGCTTCTGGCTTTGAGGCCTCTTTCTCTTCACTCTGGATGGCAAAATGAATGAATGAATGAATAATATTGATAGCTCTGTATAAAATATATGCAGATATATGTGCCTAGGTATGTACACATATTTATATATAGATATATATGTAGTTATATATAAATATAAATATATACACACACATATATACATACACAGGTGTACTTCAAAAAGTAATCTTTCCATGAACTTTTTGAAGTACTTCCTATCTATAGAATGTACATGTTCTTTTGCAGAACAAGTCGGCACTCTCGTTTTTTCTGTGTTTTGCTCTCTCCTTACTAATCCAACCCTGGGGTCTGGCTTTTCATTCTCTCATAACCCATGAAACTGTTTATATGAACAAAGATAATGCCCCTCCTAATAAAAACTCTTGCCAGCTGCTGGGAAACTCGGACCCCCCACTCGCCTGGCCTTGGCGTAGTCTCGCACAGTTCCTGAGCACTCTGACACACCTCGGTTCCTTTAATTCTCACCAGAGCACTTCGATGCAATTATTGTTATTTCTACCATTTTGCAGATGAAGACCTGAGCTTCAGAGGGATCCAGTTAATTGCTTGAAGTCCAATAGCAAGTAAAGGCTATAGAGACAAAGCAGGGACATCTAAATCTAGAACTTTCCCTTCCCCAGCTAGTAGCTTTTCATCCTGGATGAACATTAGAATCATCTGGGGGGCTTTAAAAATACTGATGCGGGGGGCTCCACCATAGTACCCTCCAAAGGGAATCTTTGGGGGTAGTGCCCAGGCAGATATATATTTAGGACACTTCCCTGGTGATCTTAAGGGGCAACCCTGCTCGTGGTGCATTGATCCCCAGCATATCAACCTGCCAACCAGAGGAAATGAGCACAATCACTTGCACAAAGATAAAGACTGAGCCCCTGGTTTTCTGGACTGTAGAATACCTGCCGCCCCCACAACTTCACCCAATCTGCTTCTAAATGCTGTTTTCAGACCCAAACGTTTGGATCAACATTTACCTGTCCAACAGGTCTGTCCACCATCCCGTTTTCCTTATTGTCTTTTTCCTCTTTCCAGGCACAAAGCGGCGTTCTCATGGCTCACCAGCTCCAAGCACTAGCTCCACAAGTCGCCTTACCTTGCCAGGTGGGTAAATGGCACTGTGCCATCTTAGTGACCACAGACAAGGTTTCTCAGGAGTTGAGTGATAAGTGAAGAAGCTGGCCCCCTATATATGCAGTCTACCCCGCATCATTACAGATCTTTGTCTCTGTCATGCTCACTTGTGAAGTTCCTCCAGGGATGGGCATAATATCTTTATAGCTGCTTCACCATCTCTCCTACTCACCGATGGAAAGAACAGAATCCTGCTCTTCCTTTGTGTTCATCTAGACAAGCTGGGAAAGTATCTGCCTTCGAGAGGCAGGTAGTACAGGGGAAGGAGTGTGAGTTTTTGGTGAGAGAGAGAGACCCAGGTTCATATCCCAGCTTGGCCATGTCCAGTTTGTGCGAGCTCACATACACATCTTCATCTTTTTGGAACTTCTGTTCTCTCATCTGTCTGGGTTGTGATGAGGATTAGAAATAAGGCTTGTACATTAGCATAGTGCTGACACATAGCGGGTGCTCATAACTAATCTCTATTACTGAGAAATATGGATGGCATGTATGACCTGTACTGAATCCCATCTAACACATACTAGAAAACATTAAGCATTCATGTTGACCCTGTGTAATTACTATTTCACATATGGGGCACCCACTGGTCATTCTGTCTCCACGCATAGGCTTACATTCCCTATTACAATTTGATTTTTGCAAGTATGAGTAGAACTTGGAAAAACACATTTGTTTTGGAGGAAGACAAGGTTATAATAGGTAAAGATGGTTATTGTAGAACATTTTAAAATAAAAATTATAAGGAAAAATGTCACCAATAAGGCCTCCACTCACAGTCAACCAAGATTACCTCTTCCTCCAGTGTTTATTAAATACTTTTCCCCTAGATTCAAATACTTTACATAAAGTTTTGTTTCCTCCTTTTAAACTTTACCATTACATTATGAGATTTTTCTCCATGTTATTAAACACTTTAACAAATATTTAAGAGATTGGCTAACATTTATATGATTATGCTATGATTTATTTATATATTCATTAATAATTTGGCATTTATGTAGCTTGCATTTTTATTATTATAAGTAACCTTACATTTCTTGTACATAATTCTTCAGAATCTGTAAGTATGGATTTAGCATAGAGTTCTATAGGTATGATTACTGGCTCAAAGAATATGCACATTTTAGGTTCCTGACACATTATCATCAAGGTGGTTTTTCAGAAAGGTAATATTAATTTACACTTTTTTTGCTCATTTCACTATCCCCTTGCTAATGCTGAGCATTATTTTTAATACTTTACCAATTTGATGAGAAAAAATATAAGGTTTGAATTTATTTTATTTTATATTATCTTTTAAAACCCTATTTTCTAATGTTAATTTATCTTTTACATTTTTTCTTTTGGAAACTACTATATTTCATCCATTCTGTGAAGCAAATTGCCTTCATTTTTGTTTGCTTGTTTGTTTTTGTTTTATCATTACACAATGTGAGCATTTTTTTAAATTTTTATTTTGTCAATATACAATGTAGTTAGTTATTGTGTCCCATCACCGAAACCTCCCTCCCTCCTCCCTCTCCCCCCTCCCACCCAGATGTGTCCCGTGGATTAACTATTTCTCTTTGTGTTTCTGCTAATTTAAACTCCATATAGTTTAAAGCTGTGTTATTATCTTTAGGTTTTTGGGGGTTTTTTTTAATTTATTTTTATTTATTTATTTATTTTATTTTTTATTTTTTTTATTTTTTTATTTTGTCAATATACAATGTAGTTAGTTATTGTGTCCCATCACCGAAACCTCCCTCCCTCCTCCCTCTCCCCCCTCCCACCCAGATGTGTCCCCTCCATTTTCTTGAACAATGTGAGCATTTTTTTGTGGCCCTTTACCAATTTCTCCCTACCTCTCTGCCCGCTTTCCCACCTCTAGTGGCCTCAATTCTATTCTCTCCTTTTGAAAGTTCAAGGGATTAATGTGATTGATATTATCTTTCTTTCTTTCTTTTTTTGTTTTGTTTTGTTTTGTTTTTCAGCTCCCACTTATGAGTGAGGACATGTGGTATTTCCCTTTCTGTACCTTGCTTATTTCACTTAATTTTCTCTAAGTTCATCCATGTTGCTGTGAATGGCAGAATTTCATTTCATTCTGTGGTGGAGTAGTATTCCAGTGTGTATACATATCACATTTTCCTTATCCAGTCATCTGTCGATGGACATTGAGGTTGGTTCCATCTCTTAGCTATTGTGAACAGAGCTGCGATGAACATGGGAGTGCAGGTATCCCTTCAACATGATGATTTCCATTCCTTTGGGTATATACCCAGCAGTGGGATTGCTGGATCATATGGCAGTTCTATCTGTAGTTGTTTAAGGAGCCTCCATACTGCTTTCCATAATGGCTGCACTAACTTACAGTCCTACCAACAGTGTAGGAGTGTTCCCCTTTCTCCGCATCCTCACCAGCATTTGTCATTCTGTTTTTTTGATACTGGCCAGTCTAACTGGTGTGAAATTATATCTCAATGTGGTTTTGATTTGCATTTCCCTGATGCTTAGTGATGTTGAGCATTTTTTTATATACCTATTGGCCATTTGTATATCTTCCTTTGAGAAATACCTATTCGGCTTCTTTGCCCATTTTTTAATCAGGTTACTTGATTTTTTACTGTTAAGTTGTTTGATGAGTTCCTTGTATATTCTGAGTGTTAAGCCTTTGTCAGTTGCATAGTTTGAGAATATCTTGTCCCATTCTGTAGGTTGTCTTTTTGGTCTATTAATTGTTTCTTTTGCTGTGCAGAAGCTTTTTAGTTTGATATAATCCCATTTGTTTATTTTTACTTTTGTTGCCTGTGCTTTTAGGGTCTCGTTCATAAAGTCTTTGCCCAGTCCTACTTCCTGAAGATTTTCTTTTAGTACTTTTATAGTTTCAGATCCAATATATAAGTCTTTAATCCATTTTGAGTTGATTTTGGTATATGGCAAGAGATATGGCTCTAGTTTCATTTTTCTACATGTGGGTGTCCAGTTTTCCCAGCACCACTTATTGAAGAGACAGTCCTCTCCCCAATGTATGCTCCTGTTGCCCTTGTCAAATATCAAGCCTGTATGTGGGTTGATTTCTGGGTTCTCTATTCTGTTCCATTGGTCTGAGTGTCTGTTTTTATGCCAGCACCATGCTGTTTGGTTACCATAGCTTTGTAGTATAATTTGAAGCCAGGTAGCTTAATGCCTCCAGCTTTATTTATTTATTTATTTTTGCTCAGGATTGCTTTGGCGATTTGGGGTCTTCTGTTGTGCCATGTGAATGTTAGGATTGTTTTTTTCTATTTCTGTAAAGAATGTCATTGGTATTTTGATGGGGATTGCATTGAACCTGTAGATTATTTTAAGTAGTATGGACATTTTCACAATGTTAATTCTTCCAATCCAAGAGCATGGAATGTCCTTCCATCTTTTCATGTCCACTTTAATTTCTTTCAGCAGTGATTTGTAGTTCTCATTGCAGACATCTTTTACCTCCTTGGTAAATTGATTCTAGGTATTTTATTTTTTTTGGCAACTATTGTAAATGGGCTTACTTTCATGATTTCTTTTTTCTGCTAGTTCGTTATTGGAGTATAAAAATGCTACTGATTTTTCCATGTTGATTTTTTATCCTGCAACTTTACTGAAATTGTTAATCAGTGCTAAGAGTTTTTTGATAAAGTCTTTAGATTTTTCTATATAGATGATCATGTCATCTACAAACAGGGACAGTTTGATTTCATCTTTTCCAATCTGGATGCTGTTTATTTCTTTCTCTTTCCTGATAGCTCTGGCTAGTACTTCCAATACTATGTTAAACAGGAATGGTGAGAGTGGGCATCCTTGTCTCGTTCCCATTCTTAAGGGAGAAGCTTCCCCACTCCAATTCAGGATGATATTGGCAGTGGGTTTGTCATATTTTGCTTTAATTGTGTTGAGGTACTTTCTTTCTATACCTAATTTACTGAGAGTCTTTATTATGAAGAGATGTTGAATTTTGTCAAATGATTTTTTTTTTTTTTTTTTTGTCTTTTTTCCGTGTCCGGCAACGGGATTGCAAGCCTCGGTGTTGCTCCCGCGCCTCGCTCAGCCAGTGAGCGGGAACCGGTCTGTATGTGGGATCCGAACCCTCGGGCGGGAGCGCCACCGTGCTTCCCAAGCGGCGCACTATCCAGTGCGCCACCGGGCCGGCCCTCAAATGATTTTTTTGAGCCTATTGAGATAATCATATGGTTTTTGTCCTTGATTTTGTTGATGTCATGTGTCACTTTTATGGACTTGCATGTGTTGAGCCATCCTTGTATCTCTTGGATGAATCCCACATGATCATGGTTTTGAGATGTTGCTGTATTTTGATTGCTAATATTTTGTTGAGGATTTTTGTGTCTATGTTCATCAGAGATATTGGCCTGTAGTTTTCTTTTTTTGTTGTATCTTTGTCTGGTTTTGGTATCAGGGTGATACTGGTCTCATAGAATGAGTTTGGGAGAATGGCTTCTGTTTCAATTTTTTGGAATAGTTTGGAGAGAATTGGTATTCATTCCTCTTTAAAGGTCTGGTAGAATGCAGCAGTAAAGCCATCCAGTCCTGGGATTTTCTTTGTTGGGAGACTGTTGATTACTGCTTCAATCTTGTTGCTCATTGTTTGTCTGTTCAGATTTTCTATTTCTTCTTGGTTCAGTCTTGGGAGTTTGCATGTGTCCAAAATTCTTTCCATGTCCTCCAGGCTTTCAAATTTTTGGTCTTTAGTTGTTTATAATAGTCCCTAATGATTCTTTTGTTTCTGTGTAATCAGTTGTAATTTCTCCTTTTTCATTTCTAATTTTTTGATTATTGTTATTTGTTATTCTCTCTTCTTTTTTGAGTTAGCCTAGCTAATGAATGTCTATTTTGTTTTTCTTCTTCAAAAACCAACTTTTTGTTTCATTGATCTTTCGAATTGTTTTGAGGGGCTCTAATTCATTTAGTTCTGCTCTGATCTTAATTATTTCTTTCTATCTACT